TCAGCTCCGGGAGAAAAAAAGCTGGAAAAGCACCTGGAGAAGCCCAGCTGGGCTGGCAGGAGGGGGGAGAGACCTCTGGATTGGGATATTCCAATGGGAAAGGCACTTGGATTGGGATATTCCCATGGGAACGGCACCTGGATTGGGATATTCCCACAGGAAAGGCACTTGGATTGGGATGTTCCAATGGGAGAGACCCCTGGACCGGGATATTCCCATGGGAAAGGCCCCTGGATTGGGATATTCCCATGGGAAAGGCACTTGGATTGGGATATTCCAATGGGAAAGGTACTTGGACTGGGATATTCCCATGGGAGAAACCTCTGGATTGGGATATTCCAATGGGAGAGACCCCTGGACTGGGATATTCCAATGGGAAAGGTCCCTGGACTGGGATATTCCCATGGGAGAGGCCCTTGGATTGGGATATTCCCACAGGAAAGGCACTTGGACTGGGATATTCCCATGGGAAAAGCACTTGGACTGGGATATTCCCACAGGAAAGGCACTTGGACTGGGATATTCCCATGGGAGAGGCCCTTGGATTGGGATATTCCAATGGGAAAGACCCCTGGACTGGGATATTCCCACAGGAAAGGCACTTGGATTGGGATATTCCCTTGGGAGAGACCCCTGGACCAGGATATTCCCATGGGAAAGGCCCCTGGACTGGGATATTCCCATGGGAGAAACCTCTGGATTTGGATATTCCCATGGGAAAGGCCCCTGGATTGGGATATTCCAATGGGAAAGGCACTTGGACTGGGATATTCCCACAGGAGAAACCCCTGGACTGGGATATTCCCACGGGAAAGGCACTTGGATTGGGATATTCCAATGGGAGAGACCCCTGGGCTAGGAAATTCCCACAGGAGAGGCCCCTGGACTGGGAAATTCCCACGGGAGAGGCCCCTGGACTGGGATATTCCCATAGAAGAGATCCCTGAGCAGAGATATTCCCACGGGAGACACTCCTAGTCTTGAATATTCCCATGGGAAAGGCCCCTGGACTGGGATTATCCCATGGGAGAGATCCCAGGACTGGGATATCCTCCCTGGATTGGGATCTCCTCAGGGGTCTCTTCCATGGAATAGCCCCATGGGAACACCCCTATCCCGGGATATCCCCTTGGGAGCCATCTCTATCCCGGGATATCCCCCT